GAATTAAAAGAAATAGTTCTCGTTGCTGAACTAAGAATGGTCCAACAGTTCATGTTCATAGGAGCGAGAATTGACTTACCAGCTCTAATTTCTTCAAACAGAAACTACATTCTAAAAAAAAGGTGCTCTTCCATTTTTCAAGGAACTGATAAAATCAATGGGAATTTTGTTCTTCATTTGTCCCAAATAGAAAACTCAAATTCTGTTCTACAGCTCTCAACAACTCAATATTTGTTCTTCAATCTTCAAAGAACGAAAATTTTTTCTTCAGTTTTTTGAAATCCTGATTGTTTTCGTTCTTTGAAGATTGAAGAACAAATTTTGAGTTGTTGAGAGCTGTAGAACAGAATTTGAGTTTTCTATTTGGGACAAAATGAAGAACAAAATTCCCATTGATTTTATCAGTTCCTTGAAAAACGGAAGAGCACCTTTTTTTAGAGTATAGTTTCTGTTTGAAGAAATTAGAGCTGGTAAGTCAATTCTCGCTCCTATGAACATGAACTGTTGGACCATTCTTAGTTCAGCAACGAGAACTATTTCTTTTAATTCCCGTTCAATAAACGAGAACGGAAAAGCAATTCCCGTTATTGAAGAACTACAGCTCAACGAATAATGAACTGTCGCAGGATTAAAACTAATATATCATTTTCTATTTGTTCAAGTGTGATATTGGTTATGCTGTTAAAACATTTTTTGAAATGCTGAGTAAACCACCAAAACGTTTAGTACTTTTTACGAATGCTTGTCAATCTGTTATTGGCCAAGTAACAGAAACAGCTACCTATCTTCAATTACCAGTGGTGAGTATTTATCATTTGTCCATATCTTTCATTATGGATCAAATAGAAGAAGTTCACTTTTAAATACTTCAGTTTTGAGAACTGATATTTCTTAGACATATTGTATATGTCAGAAATAGGTTATAGTTTAAATTTGGTTTTGCTAACCTAGATAGTTGGTATGTAAGTCTTTTAAATTAACTACATTCTGAAAATTTTCTCGGACATACCGACATCTCCGCTGAGCTGAAAATTCAATAATTATGCACATATGGTGTTGATTTATCAATGATTCTTACTTCATCTCTAGATAATTTTATCGTCAAAATTCCTGATTTTATGCGATTTTATTTTGGGTCGAAAGATTAAAATTTTTTAGTAGCCAAAAAGCAAAACAGAACATTTATGACAAAGGAAAGGACTTTTGTTTTCAATCTCTCTCCATACTAACGACGTCCCAATATCGGTATTTTTAAAAAATTAAACACTATCAATGAATATTAATTGTCTTAACAAGAGTACATTAGGTGAAGATGTATGTGGAAACAGATTAACGACTTCTTTGAAAAATACAATAAAGCGCATTCCTCTATGAAATTAGTTTCGACTATATGTCAGTAATGGTTTAGGATAGCAAACTCAAACTTTGACTAATATCAATAAATAGGTAGAGCATTCCTCTATGAAATTGGTTTCGACTATATGTCAGTAATGGTTTAGGATAGTAAACTCAAACCTTGACTAATATCAATAATGTTTTAGAATTTACGAAGCGAATCAAAAAATATAGAAGCTGAACTGTTTAAAAAGTCATATATTTATACTCAATTCATAATGTATCACTTTTACACATATATTTTAGTTTTCATATACTGAGACAGATTCTTCACTAGCTGCACGAGAGAAATATAACAACTTTTTTCGAACAGTACCATCAGATTTAATGCATAATCATGTAAGGCGACAAATATTACAACGATATAATTGGACACGTTTTGGTTTAGTCTATCAAACTGGATCTCAATTTACACTAGTAATTATAGAACTATTTCTTCTTGAATAAAAAGTTTGTTCTACGAAATATCTAATTTTTGTTTATTGAGGCAGCAAATGATTTTTCATCGAAATTAATTGGAAAAGATAAAAAATATGGCATACAAAAATGGGAAATCAATCTAACACGAAGTATCTCTTATCGAACAGGAAAAAATACGTATGAAGAAAATAAAAAAAGCATTCAAAATATATTGAATGATTTTGAAGTAAATTATACATTGAATGATGGGAATACGTTACATTTTTGACTCTCGTTTTATTTAGACACGAGATGTCCGAATAATTATTGGTAATTTTAATCAAACAGTGGCGGAACATGTATTTTGTCATGTATGTATTCATCAGATGTTTATTGATGAAAATAAGACAAAATCTGCCAATTATATTCAATAATTTTGGACAAAAAAAATTTTCTTATTTTGTAAGTAGGTTGCGAGGAAAAATTTGTATGGATCACGTTATCAATGGTTACTGTTGGGATTTCATGATAATTTAAATTGGTGGGAGTCAAATAGTACTGAATGTTCAATAGATGAATTGGTTCACGCGCTCAATGGTACATTTCAAACACGCGTACCAGAAATGTCAATTGAACATGAATCGTTCACTGATATGAAAGTAATCGATAATTATTTTAAAATAAAACTCAGATAATTTATTCTACTGTTCATTTTATATTTATAGACTTCTGCGGCTTTATCTGAATATATTACTCAATATAAAAATAAAATAAGTTCGACTGGTTTCTTTCACGCTTATGCATATGATGGTTTATGGAGTATAGCTCTAGCATTCCAACATCTACTAAATACCAATGATGATAATCATTACAATTTTACTTCAAACGTTTACGAACACGGTTGGACATCAAAATTTAAAGCTGCTGTACAAAAATTAGACTTTTATGGTGTAACGGTAAATTTTCAACTAACATAAATGAGACTTTTTTTCTAATAATGAATCATTTTAGGGTAGAGTTCAATATTCTGATGGAGAACGTGTTGGTGAAATTGTTGTTGAACAATATATTGGTACATGTACAACAATGTATAGAAAATTTATTTTCTCATTTTACTGTTCATTTAGCTTGTCGAATAACAGGTAATATATGTGAAATACCATGCCATAATGGAGAAGAATGCAGTTTGAAATTAGTAAAAATATTTCTTGCAAAAGAAAATGGATTGATTAATTTGTATCCAGTTATGTGGCATGGTAAACATAAAGTAACACTACAGCAAGTCATATTTATCTCCTGATGAGGTTGGTGCTTTCTAAGAGCTAATTTCTTTTATACATTTATACATATATCTATACTGTATACATGTACTATATGATCAAATAATTTAAGTATTTTGATATTATATGTGGCAACATCATCAAAAGATGAATACGACTCGTTCCTTTGAGCATTTTATTATATACTCAATTTTAGGAATATATCCACCGAGAGATCGCACAAATCAAACGGTCGAATTTTTACATGTTAAATTTTACACTTTTGCTACCATAACAGTGATTAGTTCATTCGGACTATTTATGACATGGTCATTTTTATTTTTTAATATTCAATTTCGTTTTCACAAGTAATGTTATCATTGTTAGATTTAGAATAATTCAATTATTTTGATTCGATTACTTTTCAGATATATTCGTATGTCAAGTCCATCATTAAACAACTTAATTTTGTTTGGTTGCATGTTAGCGTACATAAGTATTATTTTTAATGGTTTAAATTCTTCATTATTGCCTAAAAATGTGCAACAACGGCTAATGAATGTTATCTGTCCTGTACGTATGTCTAACAAAAATTCTTATCTTATCCTTTTAGCTGACATAAATATTTTCTAGGCTCGTGCGTGGCTATTATGTATTAGTTTTACAATAGCTTTCGGTTCGATGTTTAGCAAAACGTGGCGAGTACATTCAATATTTACAAATATTAATATTACTAAAAGAGTGAGTTTTATCAACGAGTCAAAAATTGAATTAAAAACTTTATCTTAATTCTGTCTATTAAGGGGATACACGATTTTCGATTATTAAGTATAGTAGCCTTATTATTGACTGTTGATATTCTACTACTAATTGTTTGGCAAATACTTGATCCACTACATCGTGAACTTATTTATGAAACACCTTATAGACTAAAGGTGAGACTATAAATCACACAACTACATAAAAATAGAAAATAGTTTTTCATTTTATAGTTTAAACAAGATATTGAAATAGTGCCGTATAGAGAAGATTGTAGAAGTTTCAATTTACCGTTGTGGTTCGTACTTGTGGTGTTGTATAAAGGCTTATTAATGGTAAGTATAAACACTGATCTAATAAGTGATCTCCTTATAAATTTTCTTTTCCGTTTTCACAGATTTATGGTTCATTTCTTGCATGGAAGACACGTCATGTTTCTATACCAGCGTTAAACGATTCAAAATATATTGGAATTAGTGTATACATCTTTTTAATTTCCTGTATTCTCGGTGCTCTTGTCGGCTTTGTTCCTCCTAAACAAGTTGAACTTTCATATATTTTAACATCATTATTTATTATTGTTTGTACCACATCTACTCAATGTTTAGTTTTTGTTCCTAAAGTAATGAAACAAAATGAATTTGTCTAAACATAATTATAGTTTTATTTTTCTGCATAGGTTATTGAAGTATACAGAGATCCAAATTCACATGCAAAACAACCACGACCGACTATTAAACAGTTAAACACTAAATCAAAATATCAGAACGAGACGAAAATACCGTTTCAATATTTAAATTCATTAGCAAATGAAAATAAACAGTATAAAATGATTTTAACAATGGTATATAATGTTTCAGTGTTCAAACTGATACTCAAATATGCTTATCATTATATTGTTTCTTTAGCAAAACAACATGTTAGAACAATTACTTACACAATTTGACGATACTGATGAAAACATCAATTATAAAAAAAGTCTTGGTACTTTAGGTAAAAATTTATTACAACTGAGATGGTTAGGCTATATTATTCACCATCGAATAGATACATTACTGTGGTATTTTTAGATCTTGTCGAATTTCGAAGAGGAGACTACTCATCTAGCTCATTTTTTTTTAGAATATGATGAAACTATCGATATTGAACCATATGAACTAGATACTTTGCTGAAAGTGAACAATGAAAATAATCAATGTCACCTATCAGATGATGAACAAAACATGTAATATGAACAACTTTACCGGTTTATTCTCGATTCGTCCCACAAATTTTTTTCGCAATTCGTCCTAAAGCATTCGTCCCACTTTTTTTAGTCTCGATTTATCCCATTTTTTAAACACTTATTCTGCATAAGGTTTGTTATATTTAACTTAAATTCCAGAAATTAAAACAAAACAAATATTTGTAAATCGAATATAGAACTGCTATGAATAACATGACTTTCAATCTTGAAAATACTTTATTCGAGCTTTCGCCAGCTTTCAGTTGGCATCATCAGGAATGTAATAGACATTCGAACAAACGATGGTATAAAAAGAAGCGAATAGATAAGAAGGATAGAACAGAAAAAGAAGAAAAAGAAGAAAAATAACTCAAGGAGAACTTGTAGTTGGCATAGCAGTTCTATATTCGATTTACAAATACTTATTTCCAACTGCTCTACCAACAAATTTCAAAACAAATATTATTAATACAATGTTTCTATTCCACATGAACTTTACAGCTCTCTTCCGCATTTTATGGTTAATTGTAGATTTACTTGTACAGCAGGATTCTGAATTCTTGTTTTTACAACTTCTTGAGAATAAATCTTGGGAATTGGTATTACTTCATTTCGTGCACGTTTCTTCATAGTTGTAACAGCTGTATTAATAATGATCTTACTTTTATCTTGAGTACACGAATGTTGTGTTTCATTTTTCGTGATGATCAAATCTTGTAAACATAACGAAATGACACTTGTGCAATTACGATCTCTGGATCTCTATTGATTCTTCTTATTCGGTTATCAGTTTACGAAAAAAAACAATAAGAAGAATCAATAGAATTCTTCTTATTCGTTTTTTTTCGTAAACTGATAACCATTTAAATTCAGCACAGGTTTACTCTTTTGGTTTCTGTGAAACTTAACATTTCAAACGTCACTCACCTAACAACCTTTGAGGGTAATAGTAAAATATGAAGACACCCACAGACACCACACAGACATCCATAGATAGCCACTAACAGCTACACAGATAGCACAGCCACAGACAATTAAAAATAACTACACAGACATCCACTTCTACGGACATGGGAGCGACACAAGTCCGTAGTCCCATGTCCGTAGAAGTGGATGTCTGTGTAGTTATTTTTAGTTGTATGTGGCTGTGCCTCTGTGCTATCTGTGTAGCTGTCAGTGGCTATCTATGGATGTCTGTGTGCTGTCTGTATGTGTCGGACACGTTTCTGTACATACTTTTATTTTATTTTATTCTGACCAACGTGGACGAAACCCTTGTTATTTTGAAGAACATAAATGCGAATATAAATAGAGGTTTTGCAGAATAAGTATTTAAAAAGTGGACGAATTGAAGGGATACGGTTTTACCGACTTCTAACATATCTCATCATAAAAAATTAATTTTTTTGTTCGTTTTTTAGTTTATCATCAACAGCAGATATACGTCGAAAAGTCTCACGAGCACTATCATTATGTATTCTGAGTAAAATTGATATTGAACAAATAAATGATCATCACGCAACGAACGCAAATTCCCGTCATTCAATACAATCTCAACAACAACCAACAACAAATCATTGGAGATATTTGAACTCTAAACAATGTAATAATAATTATTTTGTTCGCAACGCATCAGATCTATCGAATGCAACCACATATCAGCCCACAGTTAATTCTGTTATCGTTGAAGCAAACGATGAAGATGAATCAATGACGAATTTATTAAATTATTTGAATCAAAATCATTTAGATGATTTACTCGAAACTGATATTATATCGAGTTCGCAAAATTCAAATAGTGATATACATTAGAATTATATATAAGGTAATACTCGGTTGTAGATAGAATCATTAGTTAGCGTATTTCATGTTATATTTTGTGTTATTTTTTTCTTTAATTGTTTGAAATAAAGCGAACTTTTTATTTTAATTATTAAATTATTCGGTACATCTAAAGAAATTCAAACTATATAGTCAAGTAAAAGAAAATAAGAAAATTAAGTAGGCTGAAAAACAAAATGATGCGCGAATATATCAAAAGCGTAAACGAACAGTCAACATTTACAAATGCACCTACTACTATCCTATTCTTCAAACTAGAAAAGTCAATTCTTGAAGCAAAGTCAAATCAAATAAATTACCGAACAGATAAAATCACCTTCTAATCTATAGGTCTCGTAAACATCCTACTTTCCGAATTTTACCATGCATTTCCTACTTTTTCAGGTTGTTTCCTTGTTCTAGTAAATTTTACGTAAAAAGATTTGATTTTTCTAGGTTTTTATAAATTTTCATTTTATTAGTAACATCATGGTGTATGACTTTCATGTGTTTGCTTGTCAGATATTTTAATCTCTCTATGTTACTGTCCTCGAGAAGAAAAATTATGTGAACTATTGTGAATGCACTTTTTTAGAATAAAAAGATACAGAATTTAATTCTCTGTAAAACTATAGATCCAATTCCAAGATTCCTCTATATAATATTTAAAATATTAAAATCCCAGTGTTCAAAACTTCTCCATTTACTAATCTGTTCAAGCATACCATATCGAGCAAAATACTCGTTTGGATTCGAACAAAATACACTAATATATTCTCCAGAAAATTCAGCATGCGAGATTCCATTCATCACGTTTTCACATTCAGAATTTGAAGGAAATATACTGATAATACCGTAACTTTTACTTAATTAACATATGCTCCAACTGTGAAAAACTACAAAAATAAGAAAGAGAAGTGGCGCTAACACACTGAATTGAACGCCATGCTTTGTGAGAAAAAACGCCAATTAATTTTCAAAGCTATCTTCTCTTTAAGACTTTTTGGTTTCGTATACTACATATAGCAGAAGAGTAGTTATAGTTTCCCGCTGTTTATGTTTTTTTATTTCCCTTGTCATTCCCAGGTCGAAGCTCTACGGCCGTAAACTATAGTATACGTCGAAATACATATCCATTCCAGATAAAATACGACGTTGTAATCCTTCTCCACAGTAGACGTCATCGTATTTCCTCGTAAACAGTTCGTATTTTGACGTATACTACAGTATCCATCATCATAAACTGTAGTATACTGCCATTTATCGCTGTACGGCCTGGCCAGCTAACTCTACCTGCGTACGTAATTCCGTGACGTTTTTCTATGATTTTGTTTTATTTGCAGAAATTTTTGAAAAAGTCAGAACTCAAAAGTAAATAAACCATTTTGTAGACAAT